GACCACTCTCGTGGTCGCATTGAATTTTTGAAGTCACTCGTTCAAATGAATGGAGCTTGCGCCGGCTGACGCATGCGCAGATGCGTTTTTTTCACATTTTCCAGCCCCCGCGGCCATTTTGGATAGCTCCAGTAGAGCACAATTATTGGCCCATTAGTTAGAACGATGGAGAAAGGTGTGACTACGTCCGTTAATATATACAGTCTATGGTCTGGATCTAGTTTTGATGATTGCTAAATATGCACATCCAAATTAATGAAGGATTAAGGGACTACGTTTCATGTAATTGGACAGTTCATATTGCTTTTGCTTCAGATATATTTGTTAAAAACAAGTGAAAGTATTTAATTTTGTAGACCTTCAGATCTGCGTCTAACTCATCAAGTTTCAGATGACTTTTGGACTTGCTCTCTCTGATCTCTCTTGCAGAAACCTGGGTTACTTCGCTAAACAGCAGTCCCCGTCGGCAGTCATCCTCAGTCTATGGGAGGCTTGGCACCAGGACAACGCAGACTTGGACTCTCTCGCCAGCGCTCTGGAAGAAATCGGAAAGATCCACTCCACCAAAACCATCAGCACGGACCACCGTGAAGACGCATCGGACTTTAACCACATAGAGAGCGGGAGTTTGCGACGAATAGCCCAGCTGGACGCCCTCAAAACGGAAGAGCAGACGACGGAGTACGCTGGACAGGACTGATGGCTTTTGGAAATGTCTTAAATCAAAGTTGTGTTCATACTTGTAAAGAAACTGCGGTAGATTGAAGAGTACGGATTGTCAAAGGCATTGCAAGACCTGCCCCCGAGAAACTAAACTTTTCGAGATTTGTGTGTGATTGTTTTATTTGGACATTTTTTTTGTTTTGATGTGAAATCATTCAGAGATGATGAGATTCAGAAGTGTGTAAGTGAGGACCTGCCAGCCTTTCATCAACAATATGGCATTTTAAATTCACTTGGATCATACATACAAATTAGCATATCATAGAATTTTAATTACTCTTTTACTTGTATACAAGTTCAATCAATAGGAGTTTAGTCATACATGTAATATTTTATCTAAACACTCAATTATCAAGGTTGTGTGCACAGCTGTATTAAATCCAATTCCATCAAATAACGCTTTCATCTTTACTTTAAAGATGTGTGTATGACAGGTTATACTAGACATTTGTAAATCATGACGTTACCTAAATTATTCCAACGTAACACAAGGAATATGTTGAGAAACTAAATGTACAATGTCATCCGGTGAGAACTTCCTCTATTCCTCTATTTTAACATTTTTAAAACATGTTCTTCTGGCGGGAACTATGGACGGAAAAATAGCATGATGCTAAATTTGGTGTAGCCATCTTTTTAATGTAACTACATGCTATCCCTTAAATAAACAAACTTCATTCATTCATATACAATAATTCTGTATATTTTAGAACGCATATAAAGCCTGAAATATTATTGTTTGGACACAATCAGTTTGTCACCATCACAGCAGTAACAGCAGTTAGATCTGCCAACACTTTCACATGTTAAAAAAAAAAAGTCAGTACATACAAATAAAATCGAACTCCAAAAGGTTCTTTTCAACAAGGCGCAGCTTGACTAAATTAGTATAGCTGGAGTTGGCTGGATGGAATTGCCCCTATGGCAGCTTTGTGTTAGCGGCAGAGAGCCACATAAGCCTTTGTTTGGGAGGGCGACAGTGGCTCAGTTGGTAGAGCATTGGTTTTGAGCCAGAAGGTTGTGGGTTCGAGCCCACCGTAAGACCTACTTCTCGACTTCCACTGATGACTGCTGTCGTTTTGTCCTTGGGCAAGACACTTAACCCCACTTTGCCTGAAGCTCCCACTGAAAGATCTCAGCTTCTGTGGACTCACCACCTGCAGGAGGATCAGTGAGGGGCTGGTGCTCTGTGTGCTGGGTGTCATCTCTGGCCACCCCCCCGACCCAGAAATGGATTAAGGGGAAGAAAATGGATGGATGGATGGATGGACAAGGCAAAACAATGTGGCGCTTGATTTTGTTCAAAGACTTAAAAAGACATTTCAGAAAAAAATCCCTTTTCAATAACAATAAATTGCATTAAATTAACCTAATTTAATGTTGATACTTTTGATATCAAAACTGATGCACTAGATGTGAGTAAAGCTAAAGAGAGCTGAGGACAGAGACAGAGAACGGCTTCAGGGCAGGACACAGTGGACCGTCCTCCTCTGGTCCACCAGCTCATCGCTCCGCTCTGCTCCAGGACACCAGCTCAAGTTACTGCCGAACAATCGGCCCTGAATCATCACTCTGTCCCAAAGAGACACAGCGAGAAGGCGGGACACGCAGACTAACACAGGGGACCAGAGACGTCCAGACAGGGAGCACAAGCATCAAACCTTCTGACTGGATTTACTCCGTTTACAAAGTCAAAATGGGGATAACAAAGTTTTACTGCAGAGAAAAACTGAAGGCGACTCATGAAATGTCACAAAACATCACAAACATATAATAACAATTACAATTATTTAAATCGCAAAAACACTTTCTTGCTAAGTGGATGAATTGACATGTATAACTGTTTGAAAAATGATTGCATTATATAGAATGTATTCTATAGATACAGAAGGTACAGAAGGTACAGAATGATTGCATTCACTCAGAAACCGGAGCAGAGCAGTGGAGGAAGTACACTGCAGGCTTCCTCTGAAATCAAAGCACCACTGTCACAATTCTATTTCCCCAACGACCACAGCCCCAGGTCTCACCTGTAGCAATACTGTCAATTCACAGAATCAAGTAAAGCCATAATTCAAACTAAAGAGTAGAAAACAGGATTTGTAGATATTTAATCAACTATTTGTTTGGGTGGTTTCCAGAGGAAGGATTGGAAGAAGACTCTCTCCAGTTTTAGTACAAAATCTTATTTTATTCAAAAAAGTAAAAAAGAGATACAAATGCTCCAGCTACGCGTTTGGGACAGATTCTTTCTGCGGCTGATTTGAACCTGTGCCGTTGGTTGAAGTAACCGCACAGTGGCTCCAAATGATGAAATGACTTAGAACAATTGTTGACATGAAGCGGATCTGAGACGGCCGGGGCAGTATTCTTAAAACAGAGAAGCCCCTCTCCTCTGGTCAGACGGAGCAGACAGCGGCTGTATGTATGCTGTGGTTTCCTGTCTGTGCGTCTGCCCGGCCCACGCTGCTCTGCACCAGATGGATTATGCAGTTCTCTCTCTGTGTTTTGGGGGAAATGGACTGAGTTTCACTGCTATTGGCTCCAGGTCTGTCTGTAACCTCCTGACCCCACACCTCTGTAACACTTTTTAAGCTTTGTGCAGTATAGAATGGAACTTGTTAAAAGAAATATACTATACAAAATGAGTGACAAATAACTTCACTGTGTATTTAGAGGGGAACCCTGAAAGGGTAACGTATGATGAGCCAATCTTTTGCTATAATTGCTAAACGACAAACAATCTTCAGCATCATCAGCTGATAAAGATGACATTCCTGAACCTTTCATGCCTTGTCCTAAGTTAACGTGTTTTATTTCTTTAATATGATCATTTGAATATGACATAATGGTTCCAGAAAGAGGTGAAGACCGGAGGCAGCAGCAGGCTGACTGAGCGTCTCCGAGCTGTCAGCTCCATGTAAATCCTGAAAGTCCAGAGTACACTTATCTGAAACTCAAGTGGTGCACGGTGCCACCGCAGGATGCCAGCCCACCACAGAGATGCCAGGGGCTGCAGTTACAGCCTCTCCTCAGCTCTGTCCTCATGGCCTGTCGCCGGGCAGATTTGGGACCACTCTATGACGCCAATGCCATCCTGCCATCAGGGCAGGGCTGTGCTCGCATATAGCTGTTGCTGCTGCATGTAAGTTTGTGTGAATGTGTCTGGATGGGGTTGTAGGGGTGAAAGAGGTGCAACCCGACCCCTTTCCTTTTCTGACTTCACTTGCACACTTTATCTCCCTCTCTCTCTCCCCCTCGGAGCAGGACAGCTGCCACACTCAGGACTGTCCCAGTGCACCAGCGGAAAGCCTACTAAAGCAGTCCTTTCCTCTGTTTTCATCTCACTATTTTTCTCTTGGTGCTCATATGTACAAATCATGTGCGGCTCCCAGGGGTCCTCCACAACAGTTCCCCTGCTCTTATACTTCCTCAATCGCTCTGGACTTCACTCACATCAAGAGGAGGTTTGTTTATATGGGGCTGAGCACATGGTTAGGCCACTGTATGACAAATATGAGCAACAACACTTACATCATGGAGCTTAACCAGGACTGAGCCTGTCCATTGTAAACAAAGGTAAACTTGCAGTTTGAAAGAGCACCAGTGATTTGGATGATTAAAAACAGTTTAAACACTATATAATTAATTAGGGTCATTCTAAGTACACCATTAGTCTTTTCAATATTATAATCTAATTAAAATAAGACAACAAAGATTTCAGACAATTCTAACAGCAGTCAGACATGGAGTGTGATCGCAAATAAAGTTCATAACGAATCAACAAGGGACGATGTTTTCAAAAGTGAGTGTTACTGTTTAATGAATTAATTGCAAAGTGTATTGGCTTAAATAATCCTGCCCAAAAGCACTGTGTAAATAACAGTTTCTCCTCACTCACAACAGGTGGGAGAGACAGTTAAACAGGCTAAAAGTAGCATTAGCGGCTCATCCCCTGGCTGGGCTCCTTGTGGAGGTCCCAGAGGAGACCAGACAGCAGGCTTGTCCCGGGGCCAGAGAGGACCCATGAGCGCACCCCAGATGACGCGCCCGAGTGACTGAGGTGCGGAGGGGGGCTGGGTTAGGGGTCTATAGGACAATATCAGGTATCAAAAGACAACTCCCCGAAACTTTCTGTGTATGAACTGAACTGTTGTCACCTGAGACACACTTTCCACAATGGAGTTCAGAGAAAACAGAAATACACACTTTCAGTTTCAATATTCAATGAGCAAAGAGCGGAAACAGAAACGGCAGAGAGTAAGAATGTAAATATTAAAACTCGCAGGGCTCGGTTTTATATTTATTTTTGTTTCATTAAAAATACATTTTGTTTATCTCAACAGACAAATGTGTCCAACAAATGGAAGTTTATGTTCTGTGTATATATGTGTACACAGAACATAAACTTTAATATATGTAATATATATATATTTTTTTAAAAATCTCACCTTTTGCCCTCCGCGGGCGGTTATCCCTCTCTAAGCTCGGGTCCTCTACCAGAGGCCTGGGAGCTTGAGGGTTCTGCGCAGTATCTTATATATATACTAAAAACATGCACAATAGGTCTGGCATGCCCAAAAATAATAACAATTGTAAACCGCTTTGTGACTCTGGTTTGTGAAAGGCGGTATATAAATAAAGATTACTTACTTACTTACTACTTACTTACTTACTATATATAAATCCTTGTCTCTATGGATTGAGTACTTTGCCCCATGATAAAATCTGTGTTCTTCCTCTGAGCTCTCGTTTCCAACCTGAACAATTAATCAATGCCCTCCGGCTGCAGCTCGCATTCACATTATAAATGATACAGGCCTCTATTTAAAGGAGCTGTGATCGAGGAATATCAATATCAGATACTTGGACGACGCGTGAAGGATGTGCACTTCTTTTTTGTCTCTATTGTGTTTTTGTTGTCCGCCTGCGCCTTGTGCCGGTGACAGTACTCAGGAGGAAACCCAAAACCCGCGCCTCGACATAGAAGTGGGTGAAAAACAACATCTTTCAGGACTGTCCCACTTCACACTGCGTCTGTAACATGGAAGGTGCGGGGCAGAGCGACAGCAGCAGTGAGAGAGGCCCAGATGAAATTACACCGGTCCTAGAGGCTGACTAACCACTTTGAAATCGAAGAGTGCACCTCAGTCTCAGCCAAAATCATTTTCCCAACAATACGCAGGCCTGATCTTTAAACAAGCCCGAGTGGGACGGCGCTGAGGCGGAGTGACGCGCACAGACACTACGGGCTACGAGCGCATGGCTCCAGAGATGTCAGGGAGAAAGTATTACCATGTGATGTTTCTGCAATTAAATGAACCTGTTAAGGCCCTACTAATTTGGCCTACTGTACATCCTTGTTTTTTAGTCATATAAAGTTAAACAAATCTATTAAAAGAGGATACTTTTGTGCGTTGCGTTACACAAGAATATTGATTCTAGTTTGTTTCTACTTGATTAGTACGAGTAGGACAGTGAAAAAAATGTGCATGCTCCGAGAAAAGATAAAATGTAATAATTTATTTCTACTTTTTTTCTATTTATTCACATCTGTTGAAACTTTCAAAGCTCTAGGTCCAAATTCACTGAATAGGTCCACATCATTGTGACTTTTACCATATTTTGGAGAAAGTGTCCAAAAAGTACAATGTGGACTTAGTACTTTCCCATGACCTCGATTACCATTTCCGTGCCACATGTGTTTGTAAAGCTACTCTTTATTTAGACACTGTCCTCTATAAAAGGCATGTCAAAGGCAAATTGCTAATGTGCTAATTAGCAATTGAGACATTTCTGGAGGTCATTATTTAATAGTTTTACCTAATTCATCACCGCTGAAGTTCCATTGATCCCCAGCAGCGATGAATCTATTAGACACAGCCATATGCTTGCTAGACCCAAGGCACAAAGCATTATGGGTAAGTAGGGAATGTGAGAAAATGCCAGAGTTTTTCCCTTTATTGCTTAATCACTTTTTAAAAATTCCACTTTTTCTGCAACTCTTTGAATAATTGTCAGTAAAAATAGGTATTTAGAATTGCAAAAATCATTCAAAGGCCCACCGAGGCCTCAAGGACATGACAATGGATCACATTACAGATTTCTCAGTATTTCCAAGTTTGTGTGACTAAGTGAGGTGTGACTGACAATGAGATACAGGGTGGAGTCAAACTGTACAGCACCTTCTAGAACACCAATTACCAACCGACATGCTATTTATTTTTTATTTTTTTAAATGTACAGCCATTCAAATGTTTTATAAATGGGTGTGTAATGAAGTCTTTAGAAGTTGCTTGTTGCCATATGGTTAATGTAAACGGACTGAGGCACATCTGCTGTATGTTACTTAGCAGAGCGCTGCATCTATGCCTCTCATGTGCGGCCTGTGTGCGGTGCCCTTTCCTCTCTCCCATCCACAAACAGTAGCGGAGACTCACCATCTGCTCGCTCAGGTCCTGTGAGGCCTCCATGGCTCACACTGCAAGCTCTGCCACACAAGGAAGGACAAAAACACAACGTCAAATACTAACAATATGTAAGAAAACCACAGCTAGGGTCTGGTGTGGGGTTCTCTCTTACCACCTCAAGCTGGATTGTTATTAAACTATCTACCTGCATGTTTGTGTAAAAGCAGTTGTTCGCAAAGTGGGGTTTGAGGGGCCCTCTGAGACACTGCGGGTGCCCCCCAAAGGTTCTCCATTGACAGAGTTATTAGCCTGGTCGTACCACACCATAGTACAAATGACATTTCGTACTAAGGTCTGGAGGTGCTTAATTGAGCTCCGTTAACAGGTGGTAGGGGTTAACTCCTTTTGCAGATTGAAACGATTGGATCTGAGTTTGCTGTGATGTATGTAGTGTGCCCGAGTCTGTTGTTAGCATTTAGCATTTAGCCTAGGCATCTCCTTTGCCGCTAACGGAGCCCGTGTGGAGTAGCGCCACAATTTTTCCCAGCGATTACATTTGCAAAACATTCCTCTTGCTCCGGCTTCAATTTCTTGATTGAACCAGACCGGATTACTTTACTATCACATTCTTCGCCATTACCAAACTACAACCTGCCTGTTCGACGCAAACTCTTGACATCACCCACAACTAACTACAACACCCGCCTTCCGCGCTCGCTGAATGGTCGGTCGAAATTCAACCGATTGTAATCGCTAACACAGGGACTAGACCCAGACGTTACATGCAGTGAAATGATGATTGAACGGAGTGTACGGATGGCTAAGGCCAGGCTAAAAAGTTATTGGAACGAAAAGAAAATCCACAAATATTGGCTTTTTAAAACTTGTGTGTGTATGAAGAATTTTGTCTAAATATTGAATTCCTCTACTTAAAATCTTCAACATGGGGGGGGGGGGGTGCTCTAGACTGTGAGAACCGTCAGTATAAATTATTGGTCAATTAGGAATAAAGTTGACGCCCAAGAATTAATCTATTATACTTTTCACCCAAGTGCCCAACTCAGAAATGTACATCAAGGTAATACTTTCACACTTTCACACATGCACATACACATACGCTGCATGGGTTTAGTGTCGTGCACATGGGCGCAACAACAATATGCATTTGAAGCTGATCAATCTATTCTTTGAGTCGTTTCTAGCTGATGAAGGAAGGTCATCAGCAAGATCCAGGACATTTATGGTCATCCTGCTCCCTATATGCCCCGATGGCTCCTATGTGTTTGTTATTATTGCATTTTGTGTGTTTGACAACTGCTGTTGTGATTTAGAGCTGTACAAAAATTAACTGAATCCAATTGAGCCCAAGTAAGTAAGAATCAAATTGAGCCCAACATCATCATTACATAGACAGCCAATCTCCGAGAGCGAAGTGAAAGAAATATGCCAAAAGTGCCATTAAAAAAACACTTTTGTAAACCCATCTACATATAAAGAGTTTATTTGCAAAAGCAGATATCTCAGTTTTGAAAAATGCGTCAAAAACTGGCAACAATCATCAATATGTTTTATTATTGGCCGTAAATTTGAAAGAATTTGCTCAAGAAGGGTTGAAACTTCATTTATATGGCTCTAAAACGTATGGAGCTTTTCACAAAATGACTTGGTCTTTCCAATATTTTTCTTGTGTCACTTCTGGGAGGAGCAGGAGGGAGGGAAAGGTCTTGAGAATTGTCTTGCAGTGCCTTAACTTCTTTCTTTTAATGATTTTTAACGTTTTAATGATTTTAATGTATTTTAATGTCATTTTTAATTATGTTTTTATCTTTTAACTCTATACTATGTTTGTATGTTTGTGGACCAATGCAAAATTTCCTTTTGGATCAATAAAGTATATATCTATCTATCTATATCTATTCTACACATATCACAATCCTTACTAAAGCAATTTTTTTTTTTTTTTTTGCAGAGATAGCCCGCGTCAGCTGCATACATTAATGTCTGTATCTAAACGAGCCGGTGAGACGCCCTGTCAGTGTGTTTATGTGTGAGCAACAGGAGCCCGGCACGGGGAAGCAGCAGCGCTAACTTCACCATATCATCTTCAGCCGGGGGCGAAGTGGACAGAGAATTGCAGAAGTAAATATCAACAATGAAAACAGAGACATGTAACTGATCGCGGCGCTTGGCTGGTACAAGAGCAGACACACAAGCTGGCCGCGCACACAAAGCCAGAGAGTGACCCTGTTCGGACCAGACTGGAGACAGGATGGCGCTCTCTTTTCGACTGCTCAAACCCAACAGCGATAAGAAGCCAGGATTTTCTGTATATTTCTGTATTTAAAAAAAACAGCCATTTTTATCCTTTTCTTTTTGTGTCACGCAAAGGCTGATACCGCACAACAAAAGGCAACAATGCTTCTCCCAGCCATATTGTCCAAGAGCCTGAAGAAAAGTTTGACACCTCAACAATAGGGGAGCAAAATTGCACATAGACACGCAAACAAAAAGAGCTGGAGTTCCCACGAAAGGTGAAAAGGTGTGGCGGTGTAAATTCTTCAGCAATTATAGCTTCGGTTGAAATTGGTACAAAACTAACACAATTCACGGGAGATGCATTAATACGACTGTCTCTGTATATTTAGAACAATGTTGTGTTCATCATAAAATATGACTTAGACCTATTACTATTAATCAATATAGTGGACTGTACTACTTATTAGTAGTATACTTTAGTATACTTTTGCTTAGTAGCAAAATAAGAAAAAGTATATATATTCTTAATGAAAACAAGTCAGGTAAAAGAGTGAATTGTGAATCCATGTGAGTACTCCTGTGGACTTTATATTTATATATGTATATTTATACATATATAAATATATATGTATATTTATATATGTAAAATGCATTCTCACTCAATACACATTTATGTTAGCAACAAAACTATTGATGAACCTGTCAGAAAAGTGCAGCATGTGATATGCTACTGAAGTTAGAAGCATGGCTAGCCACAACCCAGTATTAATCGTATTCTAGTGAAGGCTCAGACTGGAATATATCTTCGAATATGTCATGCAATATTTCTGCGTCTGAGTCTAAGCCAAAACCATAACCAACATTTCATGTTCCACATTTCAATATACACAATCCTTTACTCACCAGTTTTTTGTTGGTATTTATGTGTCAAACCATCTTTTGGTTGAAACAACCTATACATCTATATTATGGTTGTGTTTTCTGGCCATAGCACCACATTTATCTAAATGAGTAGTAGGAGTAGTAATCTAAATGAGACAGAATTACCAATTTAGTTGGTATTATACCAATCACCAACCACTGTACCCTTCACGGCTCACACCAGACTCATCTACGACGATGTGGTTGAAGGGTCTGGCCAAAGGACACAACAACAGTTTGGCACTTTACAGCTGCCTCACTGTGGCACCTGGCTCCCAGAGGTCTCCCATCTCAGCACTAACCAACATATTGATCTATCCAACCAATGTGTACAACATCCTACCGTCTGTCTGAGTCCAGATTGAAATGGACTTAGAAGCACGGCTAACCAAATAAAACCTGTTTTCATGTCCATGTGACATGAGACGAACTTTGAGGTTATTATCTGTTTATTCTTATATGGAAGGATTTGTGTTGTTGTTGTGAGGATTGTTCATGATTAGCACTGCTGCTCACTGTCCCGGCTCTGTGAGTCGATGTGTGTGCGTTTTTTCTGGCTCAATCCTTTAAACTAACTGGCATCCTTTTAATTTTTCATAGCGTTGAGCTTCTCCTCGCCTGAAACCCAAGACAATAATGCGTCTCTTAGGTGAATTGATTTGTGCTGGGCCTCCTCTCCCCCTCTCCCCCTCCTTTCTCTCACCTTTGTGGAGGACAGACCTCACTGTGCCTCTGCTTCAGTGTCTGACTTGAGAAAACAGGACTAAGTTAAAGATGAACCATGTGGGTGTTGTTTGGTCTTCTTTATAAGCCTTCATTAAAGCTGGGGTTCCTAAGTTTTAAACAACACAGATATCTGTTGTCCATCCAGTTCCTGACTCTATGAGGTTTTGTTACTAGTATTTTTGGCCTCCGTCACAGATCAACTTTTCAGACAGAGGCCAAAAATACATGAGAAAGAGAGTGAAAGAGTGAAAAAGAGAGGACCACCCTCACTCAGCCAATCAGCTCTCAGCCCAAAGCGTCAAATGTGACTATTTCTTAAAAGTATGCAAACGTTTTCTTACACGATGGAGACAGTATGTCGTGTGTGTTGTTGAATACAATTCATGTTTATGAAGAGGGGAAAGTTTGGTAATTTATAGAAATCGATTGGTTTTATTTTGAAGGAAGGAACTTAAAACACATCTTTTTGTATATATAGATATATATATATATATATATATATATATATATATATCTATATATACATACATACATACATAACATATACACACGTATATAACAATTTACTATTATAAAGCCCATAAAGTGTAAAGTAAATTTCCTGCAAGATCATACTGTAGTCTATACATCAATTTACAATTCATTTCAATGTATTCAATATCAAATACATTTGAATACAATTTATTTTTTACTTTATCTTTTAACTGTTTAAATAATTGGACCAATCCTATTAATAAATCTTATATTTGTGGCAGCCTCCATAAGTTGACACCTTGCTTTCTGTGCAGCTGAACTTCATCCCCAGATCTAAACTTGGTACTTGAACTATTCACATCCACTGGCACAGCCGCAGCCTCCCCACACCGCGCAAACCCTCCAAGAAGAGACCTGACACTGCACTGGGAATCAATAATGCCCGCCATTTCCTTTGGCGTCCCAGTAGAGAGAATTATATTTCTCACTATGGCTCTTGACAGCCCTGAAGACCCACGGCCTGTGCGCTCTGCTCTAAAAGCCAAAAAGCACAATGTCCAACAAACCGCAGGCTGCTGAAACGGAGTTCAAGTGAAAATTCTACTCGGGCTTATTGACTGGGCAATCGTTTACGCATCAATCGATTTGAACATGACACGTAGTTAAAAAGCAGACACTTAAGGAGTTATGTTTCCACCAGACTCCCATCAGAGGCGCACGCATTTGATTTGGAGGCGAGCAACACTTGGAAAACACAGATCACAGCCTATTACTGAAACTATAACACGAGACTATAAATTAGACGTTCTTTCTGAGGTAATTCAAAAGATAATATGTTATATTATTGATCTTTCATATTTTAGATCGGCCTATTTACAATATGTAGCTGCTGCAGTAGAATGACTCTAAAAAAATGGCAAAATGGAAATTTATTTTTAAATTGGAAAAAACGACAAAATTGGCTAATGTAAAACTAATTAAAAACATAATTTTATGGACACAAAAAAATAAATAAAATGTAGGATTGTCAAAATCCCAGGCAGCATCATGTGTGCTCGGGTGTGTTGAGGCCGACTTCAGGGCAGCGCTTCAGTGAAATCCTATCTGCGGATGACTGTGCAGAAGGCCTATCAGATTTGGAGTGAGCGCGGATCTCGTCGTGGTGTTGTTAGGGGCAGGCCAATAGCCAGGGCCATTCAAGCCCTTCAGAGCGCGGTCCGGGGTAAGATTCCCATTTCCCACATATCAAATATAAACACAAACTCCACGTGGAGGAAGAGGAGAGAGGAGCCGCGGGCCAGCGGCCACGGATGCTCCACGGCCTGAGACGTCGAGATAACGTCAGGAATAAACAGCTGATGTTGTGAAATTACGAATAAAATAATTTCAATATTAAAATGAATCTGGAGCTGGTGCACAAAACAAAACAAAGGCCGGGGCCTGTAGCAAATATGCAAAGAAAACAAATCGAATTATAAATTGATTGATTATGTAGAATTGCGTGAGAATACATAAGACACAACAAAAATAACATGCTACAACGAAATGTATTGCTCTAGATCGATACATGCTCTGTACATAAATATATGGGCCAGCGCTGTTCAATGCGCCTGATGAAAACAGTTGGTTTGTAATTATGCCAAAGAGACAATTAAACGTAAGTTTGGCTCATAAACAATGATGACATAAATAGTACAGTCGGTCCTCATCGTACAGGCAGATACACTGGGCCTACCTGCTTCTATGACTGTGTCGGTGTCGCAGCAGGTCTCTTCAGTGCTGGGCCCGGGTCATACTCAAGTGCACGGCTCTCTGCAGCTCTCCCTACTGTTAACACGCGGTCACTGTCTCCAAAACACCTCCGCCGCTACTGCACATTCCTCCTCAGGACGTCCCGCACCGACAGCACAACTTTGACCAGAGAAGCGCGCTCACAGAGTCCAGGCGCAGTCCCGTGTGTGTCTCTGCTCAACTGTCTTATCCGCTTCTTCTTGAAACTGCATTATTGTCAGTTTGAGCAGCAGCAGCAGCGCAACACAAACCCAACTTCATCATTGAACTCTCCGCGTCAGTGCGCATGCGTCCAGCTGCCATGCGCACATTACTGGGCAAATGTCCAGAGGAGTAATGGGCTTCAGACCATAGGAGGAGGAGGAGGGGGCACAGAATGACATTCTTATTAATAGTTTGGTGTAAGTGACGCGCTGCAAGTTTTATTTATCTCTTCAATGCAGAAACAACCATATGTCGTGACCATATCAGCCATTTTGAAGCATGCGTTAAAGATGGATTACCTAACTTTGAAACAACAAGAAATTAACTAACATAATCCATGAATCTCAATTGTTTGGTTCTTTCACTGGCATGTCATTTTTGCACTCTGTCACATCGTGAGTCAAGCTTTTCAGTGAAAAAGATAGCTCAGTATGTAAACGATCCAATGTTTTCTAAAAAAAAATATGTTGTGGTCTAATGTATTAAATTGTTGCTTAAACAGTACTTTTTATGTTGTTACAAACACAGTGAATTCATAAAAAAAATATTCCAGCTTTATTTTTTAACTCAGGAGAGAGCTGATTTTTTGTTTACGTTTTTGCAGAGTCCAATACCTCTGAAAACATGAAGGATCGTGTGATAGTTAATTTGAAAATGTGGATGTTTGTTATGGTCATTGTCTGTCGGATCAAACCATCAGTTTTATAGCTCAGTTATTTACTCGAGCTGTGGAAGTCTACAGCTGAATGGAACCACACAAAACGCAGTTGCATCTTCCATTATTTATCATTGTCAAAACAGTCCAAAAGGCCTTTGTGGTAGAAACAGAGAAGTCCAATCCTACTGGCATTGAGAACACAAACAGTCAGAAAAAATGTCTTTTTTGTGGCATGGCCTGCTGCCTAGTGCATCAACCAGCAAGCCAATGATAAAGAGAGGGATTATGCAATTGGCTCGAAAATGGCCATGGATCAGTATTGAATTTAAATGTAAGCAACGACAATTCCTATTTGAATGTTTTGCATGCTTTTGTTCTTGGCCTTTTAAAACATATCTATGTTATTAGCATTTTTTTGGTCTGGTGGTGTATGATTAAAACATGTGGTCTTGAACTTTTCAGGATAACATAGACATCTGAATATCGATGTTTTACAATGCACATACATCTTTGTAGTCTTTGGGGAGCACGGCGGCTGAGTGGTTAGCACTCTCAGTAAGAAGCTCCTGGGTTTGCCAGCTCACTTTCCAAGAAGATTTTCACTTTTTTCCACAATGTCAGACAATATAGACGCAGATAACTTTTACTGGAAGTGATTTGAAATGGATTTCTCCAAATAGATTGGCAAACTTTACCTGTCGAGTAGAAACTTCACAACTGAAGCATCACCCCAACCTGGGCTTTCAACGAATGGCATTGTGTGAAAGAGTCTCCCAAAAACACTCTGGTCTTGTTTGACGAGCACGTACGACTTCCTTACGGCACATATCACCAGAATGATTGACAAACAAGAGGACTAAGTGTCTTGATGATCAACCTGGAAAAAGATAATCCTCCTATATAGTTTCAACTTACATCGTTTCATATTGTCTTCTTATGTTTGGACAGAGTCAGCGGTAACATCTGGAGGAACATCCGCACGCTGACAGAGACTCCAACCAACAACTCCAGCTTGTGAGGTAACGTCCACAGGTTTTCATACAAGTCCAAGCAGTTGTTCACTTTCACAAACATTAACTCAAGACACATATTCTACACATCCTACAAGGTCCTACAACTACATGCATAGCATATCAAGTGCATCTCAAAATGCAGCTAATGGCAGAACCAGCAGCGTGACACGGAGGTTGTGGTCAGTGATAAGATACGCAGCTCATATGGACTTGGAATAATGTTTAAAACAACAGTTGGCTCTGACATGTACATGCAGAGGCCTTTGCTGATGCCAGGCGTGGATGAGGTAGAATAACATGTGGCCTGATCGGCGCATGTGTGTTTTGGCTCTGCAATAACAGGGTCATATTCCTCACTTGGCATTGGCCCATTCTATCTGCATCGCTATCAATGAATCGTGTATAGCCACCTAACCATAGATTGTGACTTTGATTCGCTAATGCTAATGTAAATACAAGCTTGTCAGACGAGTGGTATTACTAGCACTGCCTGTCACTATTACATGTTACACAATAGCACCTGCCACATGCACGCAACCGACATGGATCAGATCTCATCACAACATTCAAAAGCGAATATTTTGGATCAGTGATCAGTGAAGTTGTAAAGACATCTTTGCATGTTGTCCAGTCATCCATCCATGATTTGTGACATGAGCATTGTAATCAAACCAAAGTAATGCAGCCGAAGAAGTCCCTGCATGGTCTCTACAGGACAGGTCTCTCAGGCCCCTACCTCCGCTGCTATGTGATTGACACATTCTAGTCGAATAAATTAAAAGCTCAAGCTGTGACAGAGCCCAGAATAGCTCAGAGCTGTCATTGACCAGCCGTCTCTAGTGCCACATGTCAGCGAGCTTAAAGGACTTGGCAGGACATTGTGCACAAAGGAAGCATACGTGCAGGTGACCTGGAATACTCACTTTTCATACATGTAATACAGAATTAAACAGCAATGCACAGTTTGTGTGTGTAATTATAGTGTGGATTCTGAAGGCACTGGCAGATGGATCTATATTTTTTTGGCCAGCTGTTCTCTGGAGGGTGGTTGTGAGGAGGGGGCTAAGCCTGAAGATGCTTCGAGATCCAGCTCTGCAGGTCTCTCTGCCAAGTCACAGTGCTCCGGTCGTGCCAGGGGGAGCAGGGGGGCTGTATTTATAGATATGTGAGGAACTTGTGCTCTGGCCTGCGAGGTGCTGACGACGTAAAACGAGAAGACGCTTCCAGACGCCTGTGTCAGAGCACAGATAAAAATAGGAAGTGAAAGATGGGCATGGTCATTAGTGCGCAGTCTGGCATGTGACATAGCCGCGCTTCACTAGTGATTTATGATTATTACTAGAGCAACCTATACCTCTGCTTTCCTGCCCCGCCCCGGCCCAGATTGGTTGGCCAAATGCAGTAGTTGGGTATGGGGTTTATTTCAGGGATCAGGGCGCTGAAAAAAAGCCACTGGCATTTTAACTTTTGGCTAAATGCCATCTGGTTTCAGATGTAACCACAATGTTAACTGGGAAACAAAGGGGTATTACATGGATCCAAGCTGGTAATTAATTAGACATATGGTTAAATGGTTAAATATCACTTGTATATGGTAACACACACAGACTTCTTTACTATTTAACTGTCTTTTTTTTTTTCATGCATTTAAATCGGACAAATATGGCAGCAGAGGTGGTCTGAGGTGGTGCACTGCCATAATGAGCTCAATGCAACCTGCTGCCTCTCCTAATTACTGGATCAAGTCAACTGAGGGAGGAACAAAGGAAACATTTAACACATCGTAAATTCCTATAATGTCCAGCAGAGAGGCCGCGCTCCAGTTACTTCAATGACTCTGTTAGTGTCCGGTGACAAACACACACACAATCACATGCGCTGTGGACGGTGCACCGGCCTTCTGCTTTCCAAACACTGAGGTAAAGGTGCCAACAACATGGAACAAACTGTTGAAAATAAAAAACATAAAAGTAAAATGTAAACCTAAATGTAAATCTATCCAATTCACTCATAAAACGATGTTGGCAAAATATCAAATTGCGATATTTCTGACCAAGGTTGGCATTGTGATGTGATCTTTAATATCCTGCATGTTTACACTTTATCATTTTGTTCAGAGTAAAAATAACTTCAAGGCAGATATATTTGGAAAAGCATATGTATGAATTACCTCATGCATTTCCCACATTTCAGATTTTTAAATTGAGTTTTACAGAGTACTCCCCTAAGTACAACCAGTTTTTCTAGAAGATATTTTGTTTTACTGCAAAATGTTTTAATATTTCTAAACACTTTAATAAAGTCTTTGTCAGGCCTGAGTTGAGCAACACATTTTGACAAATTCAGCTAATTTAAATCATGAAAAAGTGGAGATGTCTAATCGTGCAGCCCTACTGTTTAATCAAGAGTTTGCAGAATCCAGCCCATATCATAAAGTACAAATGATTGAACACAAGCGGCCTTTATCCAGGGAGATTTTGATGGAGTACGTGAGAGGAAAGCTGACAGCGTACTTGTACAACACATAGACTTTTGAAATAGTGGCTTTGTCAATCCAGGACAATTAGTTTACCATGGCTGTAGTATTCAGAGTATTTCTTCCAGATCCCTGTAATGCAGCGCAGGCCAGTTTCACTGCAGCACCCATGGGAGACTTCTGTGGCCAGACCAGAACACTTGGCTTTATTCGAAGTAAATGTTTTATGGTTATGGTTTTAATGTTAAATATGGGAACTCACTGTAGCCGCCTTATGAATGGAAACCTATATGAGAAAGGATCAAACATGGCTGCTATCCTATCATTGTTATTTTGTTGCCGTTATAGCTTCAGATCCAAATATTTTCTTCAGTATGCGAGTTTGACTGAAAGAGCAGATGGGTTTAACTATGTGCTGTCATGTTAAAACATTTAGGCTTTGATAGATATAACTGCAACGGTCAGAGGCCAAATCACTTGTGACTTTCACTGCAGTGACACTGATCTATGTACCGTACCATAAGTGTCAGGGTGGGTCTGCGGCGCATTTGGGATATGAGCAAAACAGAGGCCGTATATATATGCAAAAGGTTTGTGAATTTGGCTCCTGTGTATTGTATCGGTGTGTATTGGGCGACAGTAGCTCAGTTGGTAGAGCATTGGCCTTATGGCCAGAAGGTTGTGGGTTCAATTCCCACCTCTGCACCTTCTCCACCGACTCCCACTGATGACTGCTGTCGTTGTGTCCTTGGGCAAGACACTTAACCCCACTTTGCCATAAGCCCCCACTGAAAGATCAAGGCTATGCTCACACTCAGAGAGCAGCCGTCCTCCTGTGGACTCACCACCTGCAGAGGGTCAGTGAGGGGCTGGTGCTATGAGACTTGGGTGGCATCTCTGACTGCCACCCCCCTGACCCAGAAATGGATTAAAGGGTAGAAGATGGATGGATGGATGTATTGTATCGGTCAAAATCCATTTTCTTCCCCTTTGTCCATTGGTTCGGGTTAAGTGTCTTGCCCAAGGATGCAACAACAGCCGACTTCAGCGGGAGTCCAAATCCAGAAGATGTTGGTTTATAGTAAACAGAAAATAGGGCAATCAAATGGTCTCGCATGCTACCTTGGTTACCTTGCTACCTTCCTCCAAAACTCCCAGAAATGCCATTCATATTAATCAAAGTAGCCTATTTTATATTCCCTTTTCATGATTATTATTATTATTATCATCATGTTTTTCCTTTATTTTAATTATTATTATCATTATTATTATCTATGTAATTATTTTCTGTACTATTTCATCTATCATATAAACATTGGTGGATCAGTGGACGCACACATGTCCTTGTTCTCTTCCCTCTATGGAGAATTCCAGAGGTATTACAGCTGGAATGTGATTTGTTTTCCCTGCTAATGAAAGCATGGAGCCAAACAAATAGAAGCAAATTTGAAAAAACATAAATATGGAAAATCTTAATCCCGTACAGCTTACTCACTGTAAATTGTCTGTATGGGAACACTATACACATCCCCATGTTACGTGGAGTAACACCACCTGCTTGTTATTGGCAGTGCAGATTGTTTGAGTCTGTTTGTGTGACAGACGAAGTCTAAAAAGTTGTCCTTGTTCCTCAAATGTCTCTGGAGGGAGCTCATGTAGTGGGAGCTCACTGTGACCCATGTTTGTGACCAAGTCCACTGCGGCCTCCTCTCTCCTGCTCTGCAGCTTCAGGGAACTTTCCTCTGGAGATATTCCTCAGAGCCCTCTTCTGCACGCTCTCTAGACGGGTCGTACCACACCATAGTACAAATTACATTTCGTACAAAGGTCTGGAGGTGCTCCATTGAGCTCCGTTTACAGGTGGGAGGGGTTAAAACGATTGGATTTGAGTTTACCGTGACATATGTAGTGCGCCAGAGTCTGTCTTTAGCATTTAGCCTATAGCCATCTCCTTCGCCGCTAACGGAGTAGCGCCACAATTTTTGCCAGCGATTACATTTAATAACATTCCTCTTGCTCTGGCTTCAATTTCTTGATAGAACCAGACCGGATTACTTTACTATCGCATTTTTTGCCATTGCCAAACTGCAACCTGCCCGTTCGACGCAAACTCTTGACATCACCCACAACTAACTACAACACCCACCTCCCGCGCTCGCTGATTTGTCGGTCGAAATTCAACCGATTGTAATCGCTAACACAGGGACCAGACCCAGACGTTACATGCAGTGAAATGATGATTGAGCGGAGTGTATGGATGGCTAAGGCCAGGCTGCACTCTCTCCAGCTGTGCAGCTTGATTTTTATTACAGCCCATGCATCAGGAGGACACTCCATTTCTCCAGACACAGCCTCACTAGTGTGGAGTAGATGGTCAGCAGGTCCTGCTGTGGTAGGCTATGAGGACCGTGAGGAAGTGGAAGGGCTTTGAAGCCAGGGGATCTGGCTGGGTTGGATTTTTGGAAACGCAGTTTCTGAGTTCTACAGTCTTGTCCCCATTTATCTGCATGCAATTTTATGTAGCCCATTTTTCCAGATTTTCTGCTTCTTTTCCCTACATTTGCTTATTTATATGAAAGAATGTGTGTGTTTTTATGTTGTTTTTAATCACTATCACAGAATTATAACATTATAAATACTGTGAGAAGGCTTACATCTCTCACACCAAACCTGACTGATTATTTGTCTATTTGGAAAATATTTTGTAAGTACACACGGCCACTTCAAATCTGTACAATTAGCAATAAGATGTGGCTATAGATGGACTGCATACAGAAGGAGTGGAGCACCAGGAGTAACATACTACTGTAATTCAACATGAATGAGTATGGAGAATGTCATCTTGTCTGTCTGTGTCTTGTCTCTGTCTTGTCTCTCTGTCTCTGTCTGTCTCTGTCTGTCTCTGTCTCTGTCTCTGTTTCTGTCTTGTCTGTCTGTCTCTGTCTCTGTTTCTGTCTTGTCTGTCTCTATCAGTGCCTTTTCTTTCTAGGTTTGTGTCATTGCCATCTGCCATGAGTTGTCAAACCTTGAAACAATGCAATTAAAGACAATTATACATAATTGCATACATCTTTACCAAACAAAGGTACAGTACGGTACAGTAAGTCTAAAGCTGACAATTTTTATCAAGCGATGTTTAAGCTGCTTCACCATAGCAACCATCCATCCATTTTCTTCCCCTTAATCCATTTCTGGGTCGGGGGGGTGGCAGTCAGAGCTGCACCCAGTATACTTAGCACCAGCCCCTCAAGGGGCCCATAGCAACCAATGAAACAGAAAGCACACAGATCCAAATCCATAATGTTTCTCCAATAATATCTTAAATAAAGTTATTCATGCAGTCTGACCAGTTCTTTGAATATAATAGAATTACAAGTTGTTTTGGTGTTTATTATGGATTATTGCAATGCACTTTACTGTGGGCTGAGCCAACAGGCTCTTTCTCGGCTGCAGCTCGTCCAGAATTCTGCAGCTCGACTTTTAACTGGTACTCGTAGATACGAGCATGTGACACCGGTTTTAAAATCTCTGCACTGGCTTCCAGTTGGTTTTAGAATTGATTTTAAAATTATTTTATTTACTTTTAAATGTTTAAATGGACTGGCCCCCTCCTACCTCTGTGATCTTGTTCTGCCTTATGTTCCCTCTCGCGCCCTGAGGTCGGCAGATCAGCTGATGCTGGTGGTCCCTAAGACTCTGCCTGTTTTTAAGTCACTTCTTAAAACTCATCTTTTTTCATGTGCTTTTGATAATGTTTGATTTTAGGTAATATTGTTTTATATATGTATTTTTTTGTCAATGTGTTTGTGTACAGCACTTTGGCTGAACTGTAAAGTTTTTAAAGTGCTTTATAAATAAAGCTGGTATGGTATGCTATGGTGTTTGAAAGGCATTTTTAGAATCCTGATGCTGCATAAAAAAGCAGATACATTAGACTCATAAAATTCAATTCTAAAAAAGACAGACATACAAAACAATAATGAACAAACAGTTACTAGTTTCCATAGTTCTCAAAACATGTTGGCTGTATTTTTCACCTTTTTTTTCGGAAAGTGTAAGTGACGGAATAGTGAAAAAGAGAGGACCACATTCTGCTCTCAGCCCAAAGCATCAATGCGGTTCTTCAGCTTTGGTTGGCACAGATTTGTGTTTTCGACCGTGACCTTAACTGTAGAAAGAAATGATTGTGTGAACTAACTTAAGTCAGCAAAGCCTTTAAAATAATTTATGATTTGATCCTACTTTAGCTGGTTTATTCTCCACCGCTTCGGCTTGAAAATCACTCAAAAGCTTACAGCCTCGGTGGAGCACAGCGAGCTCAGATGTTGCGTTCAAGTGTAAACTGAGATATCTGACTTTTATAAAAATCTATTTAATTTCCTTTATTTAATCCAGGCAGGGGCAAAATAGAAATTGGTAGCACAAACCTCCAGAAGGGGAGGCGAGGTGAGTTTATATTCAGAATTCATGAGAACGTTTGACGACATTTTGAGAATGAAAAATCACCTCTGCACATTGTCTGAATAGAACAATAATACATATTTTTTTACGATCCGGAAATCACTTTTTTGATGTTGAGATCTGCTTAGCTTCAGAAAACAGCACTCTACATTAATACTGCTGTCATTCCCCTCTCCTCTCTTTCCATCTTTTCTCCCAGTAGTTTTTTATTGTTATGTTTGGCTTTTTCTTTTTCTTTTGGCAGGAGCGCAATCATTGAAGAATTTGAGCACAGCGCGTGTCCTCAGCAATCACAATCAGGAGGTCCCTGCTGCGCTGATTGCTGCCTGGCCTGTGTAATGTTGTAAATGTGGATCGAGTGTGTCAGAGCGGACCTCACAGAGAGATTATCACACAGGACGCAGCCCAGTGGCTCCTCACAAAACTATTGATTTTGGATCGAGGGATGAGGTTGGAGGTCGGGCTGCTCGATCAGTCGAAATCGAAATGCTATTTTAGTGGAGGCCATGAGCAAATGGCAAAGACTGCAATGATTTAGATTGAATTATATACTTTACAAATAGACAATAATGTGTTTAGAGTTAAAGTCAATTCATCAGGGGTCAGTTTTCCCTCTAAATTGAATTCTATATTGCACTCAGAACTTTTCAAAAGACAATCCTAATTGCAATGGTTTGCTGAAAAATCTCAATTAGACATTTATTGTATCTTGTGCAACACTGGTTGGAAGTTTGTGTCAAAAGTATCAGATATGCTTAACTAGTATCCACATTCTCTTTCAACGTACTAATCAACTTGAAAGTCAATTTGATAAAAAACACATTTTTTGACACATTTTTACCCCTTGTGAATAATTTACATCTAAAAACTAAATAATGTCTCATAAGGTTAATTCTTTAGTTTTTCAATTACAATGTATTAAAAAATATATATCAATAAAACCTCTGGGGTATGTAAATATGTTTTTATAAATATTTTCTGAAACTTTTCTTAATTTACACACTGAAGGAAAATACACGAATAAGTGTTTGCATTTTGGAAAATATGGAAAAATATACAATTGACATTTATTTTTTGAAAACATCTT